CCCCAAAACCCCAAAACCCCAAAACCCCAAAACCCCAAAACCCCAAAACCCCAATTTGATATAATTTAATTTGGATTTGTGAAACACTCAGATATGGAACAGTTATATTCGCTTCATAAGAAGCTAGACCCAGCCATAGATACTGCCAAGGCTAAGGGTCTGAATACCCATCTTGAAGGGATGAAGATGCTTGAGTCCCTTCAGTATGAGAATGAAGATCTCATGAGGTTTCTCCCTGTGCTCTCACAAAGCTGATTCCATTCAGGCGCTCATAGAACCATCAAGCTTCATGCTTATATCCTTATTAGAAACTTTTGTAACTCCGAAGGATTTATATGGGATGAAGTGCTCGGAACTATTCTTACAGACTTTGATACAATGGATAAGGAATTACAAAAGAATGCTTTTATGACCTTGGCTCATTTTCCTAAATTCGCTGCTTGTGAGTTTCTCACTTCGATGGAGACAATTCTGCTAAAATATTTAGAAATAAGAGAAGGTAAGAAAGGAGCTCCTCCAATGAGCGAAGATGAGAAAATGCTTGACTACCAAAACAAGCATCATTGCTTAGAATACCTTCCAAAATTCTTAATCAAGACATTTGCAATGGTAGAAGGAGATGAAGAATCATTTGCAACTAAGGATATTATCAAAGATTTATTCAGGAAAATCCTTGATTTTATATTCCATTCAGACAATTTCTTAGCCTCTAAAGCCTTAGAAGCACTAAAGGATCTTCTTGAGGCTTTTTACCTGCCTGAATACTGTAATTTCCCATTAATGAAAGAGACCAGAAAGAAGTCAGATGGCATAAAATGTGATGATTCTTACTCTTTAAACAAGTGGTTAAGAGAAGAATTTGAAAATTCAACTTACTTCATGCCCCTACAGCCTCTAGTAAATCAAATGTTGAACTATATCTTTCCAGATTTCCCTGTTCTTATGTATAGAATTTCATGATTGGACAGAACATCATCAGCCAATTTATATGATGTTCCAGTTCTTCTTTTTAAATATCTTCTTGAGCTGAGTGAGAAAGAAAGGAAGCAGATTGAATTCAAAGATATTGAAGATTCTATTGACGACTCATTGCTTATATTTGAGCTACTGGATGAACTCTCAGAAAAAATTCTTAATCTGCATGTAAAATCTGAAGGTAATTTGATATTTATTACGTAATATAGACCTAATATATCCACTCTTTAGTAATTTTGTGAAGTTATTGAGCCTTAGTGATACCCATACTTGAAAGCCCTCTAGAATTCAGCTAGAATCCTCTAACTTATTGTACACAGTCTCAAAGCATCTGGTTGGGATTTGTAAAGGACAGGTGTTAAGCTTTGATTGAAAAATTAAATCTGTAAATCCAGACCCTTACATAAAGTTTAATAATCTAATTTTTGATGGAATTCATTTGAAACTATGCTATATTCTTCCTCTTATCACTGACCCTGCCGCAAAATCTGAGATAGCAATGGATCTCCTTCCTCTATGAAAATATCTGACATCTGTAATAGACAGATTCTCTGCTTTAAAGCAATTATTCAAATTTTTGATAGGCAAGAGTCTTGAGAAATGACTTCAGAATTCTGAGAACTTTTCATTCAAAAATGAAAGATGGTTCTTGTACACCACTCAGGTTATCAATATACTGATCGCCAAAGAAGAAAACTTCATCTGGGAGGAAGAACTCTTCCTTTGTTGTATCCAATCTCTGCTCCAGTTGAAGTCTCAGATTCCAAAAATTACTAAAAAGGTGAGCAAAGGATCAGTGTTTGATGGAGCTGACCAAAAGTTCCTAATAGAGGCTTGGCTCAAGCTTATATTTGACTTCTCAGAGCAGTGCTTAAGACTTCTTGAGATCCAAAATGCTGAAAATTGTGATAAAAACAGCCTCTGCATAGGATTCCTCAAGTTTCTGGAGGACATCGCCAAAATGATGAATTCAATTGGAGACACAGCTATGACAAGTTATTTCAAGTACAAATTTGATAACTTCAAAGATGCTGTCATTAACAGAACGCCAATCGTTGGTAAGTCCAGCATTTAACCTCTTTCTAGGACTTGTAGAGCAAAATACACCCAAAGAGGAGAGAAAGGTAATGTTGAGTATTATCATGTAGGAAGATGATCCAATTAACGAAGAAATTATTCCAGATAAAGTCAGAGAAGACGTAAGTGCCAGTAAAATTATTTCTAGATCAAAGATGATTATTCAGTCAATAGAATCTTCGAAGAACTCTGGGTAGCTGAGATCTTAAGTAGTCATATCAAACTTCAGTTTGAAGAGGAAGAGCCCGGCACTGATGATAGAGTGATTTATTTGTATTAATGTTTAGATTAATGCATACTTCAATTTCCTGAATGCTTATAAAGTAAAACCTCATCCAATCACCAAGAAACCAAAGAAGTTGTTAAAAGAGATTCTTGATCAGGTAGAATTGTCTCAGGAGTATAAAAAGTCATTAAAAACTTTTAAAGAGTCTCAAACTGGAGATCATAAACTGAGTAGAGAACCATTCCAAACATTAGTGACAGGGTTAGCAGATCTTTTACAGATTTATATAAGTTATGAGGTGAAGAGAGGATCCATGATTACATTCCATATCGATATTGTAAACGTGACAAATATATGCATCACAAACTGCTTGCTTAGTTTCGCTTTGAGTGATAATCTTGAAATGGTGTCTTCAGATTCGGTGTCTCTTTTCTCAATGATATCTCCAGAACAAAGACTAAAGAAAACAGTAACAGCCAAGATCAAAAAATTTGAACAGTGAGCTTGAACTGTTATCGCTACCTTCCAAGAGTGTGACATCAACCCAATCAAGTCAGTACCCTTTAGAGTCAAACTTAAGCCATGGCAAGATCAGTTTAAAATTTAGTGATTCAACAAGCTAAAACTGAGTAGGGGTTTTGGGGTTTTGGGGTTTTGGGGTTTTGGGG